TTAGAGTCAGAGTTCTACTACCTTTAACCACATTGAATAGTAGTATACTTTAATTATGTGAAATACTTCAAAATTATGCATGGTAGGCTTCGACCCTGAATTGTTTGCTGACTGACCTGTACTGGGGAACTGGAGTTTGTCTCCTGCTGTTAGAATTGTAAGTGATGTAATGATTTTTTGTGGGAAAAGTAGTATTTTCAGCAGATTGTTCTAATTCTGCTGTATTTCTTTTATTTGAAAAGTCATTAGACACTTCTTTCACAGAGTCAGAACATGTGTGGTTTCCTTAACTGCATGGAGGCCAGGCTGGTCTCCTAAACGTATCCTGTTCTTACTCATTCAGACACCTTTCAAGAATTGAAATTCTTGCCTCTCCTGTTAAACTCCTGTAGTGATCTCTGATGCTGAATTCACACAATTAAACCCAGAAAATTTTTTACTGCAGCATTTTCATTGCCTGGTTTATAATTCCTGTTGCATGTGCAAGTAAGGAAGAAACAATGCTAAAGAAGAGTTTCTAAATACTCTGAGATGCATGGCACCATTTTGTTTTCTAGGCAGCCACCCATGTCAGTGTTGCAGTGATTGATGTGAATGATAATGCCCCGGTGTTTGTCCAGAGCTCCTATTCTGCTTCCATAAACATGGTGAATCCCGTGGGTGCTCCTGTCCTCACCGTGAGCGCCACTGACCGTGACCAGGTGATTCCTCCTGTGACCCTGAGCCTGCTCTGGGCTGCAGCACAAGCACATCCTGCTCTATTCTCCAGGCATGCAGCACCACACGTAGCAGAAAGTGAATCCGGCTTAACTACCAGCTCTGAGAACTGAAAATTAGGAGTTTTGCTGGCTCTGCCTTGACACTGATATACCCCCTAGCACTGGGCATGTTTCCTCAGCCGTATTTCCTTTAATTTTCCCCTTTACTACACAGAAGCTGCATGCATCAGTGCTTCAGAAGTATACAAGGACTGAAGCAATTTAGTGTCTCTGCAGTTATTTGAACTTTTGAGGTAGAAGAATCTGTAAAAACTAAACATCATATAGCTGCTTTGAGCAGGGAAATGTCTGCTTGCCAAACTCCTCTGAAGGGTGGCACCCCAGCTGACTCTCTGTCCCCATTTTTAAATGTAATTTTGTTTGGTATATCTGTGCTACACCCATCAAATAGGATCCAGGCACTGGCAGGGATATCCAGTAGTCAACCACATCACCATGACAACATCACTAGTAATTATAACATTTACAAGATTAAACATCTCCAAGTGACAACAAAATAGGTGTAGCAGGTGTCTTCCTATTTCTTCACGCATAATTTTGGTTGGAATAGCTGCAGCTGTGGTACATTGCTGCAAATCATCTAACAGCCCTTTTTAAATCAGCCTTTTCAATGATTTTGTGTAAAAAGTGAAATTGACTCTGAAAACTGCTGAACTGTAGGAGATCTGCATTTGAGACCCCAATGAAAATCCTCATTCAGCTGTGCAGACTGGTACTTGTCCTCCCTGTACCACCCTCACTACTCAGACTGTCCCCCTCTACACATCTAACTTATTTTCATTAGAGACTTTTTGCCATGTTTTTACACTGTAAATGACCAATGTATTGTGTATTTTCTTCTTTTGTGTTTTGGTTTTTTTTTTTTTTTTTTTTTTTTTTTTTAATTTGTACGTGTCCTACCATAGCTTTCATTCTTAAAAAAAAAAAAAAAAAATCACTATTTTCAAAATAATTTCACTGGAGACATTTAGATGTTTTTTTGATCTCTTGTTTCAGTGTTTGTCCTGCCCTTCCAAACATACTTCCAGTTCCATGAAATTGTGTTCCTTTCATGGCAGGGACAAAATGGCCTCATTGATTATTACATCCTCCCGGATCCCACTGTGAGCCCGTTCTTCCTGATAGAGGATTTGAGTGAGGGGAAGATAATTACAACTGGAAACCTGTCTAGATCTGGAGAGATGCATTTAACGGTGATGGCAAAGGACAAAGGTTCTCCTCCTTTAAATGGCACTGCTGTGGTTACTCTGAGTGTGTTTGACAACCGTCCATTCGTTCCTCGCCTCAACAAAAGCGAGATCAGGTAAGGCTTTCATACTGAGTTAAATAACTGGGATGTGTTCACCAGGTGGTGCAAAACACAGCAAAGCTGAAGGTCACTTTCATATTTTTCCATGCAGAAGAAAGGACATCAGTTTTGGGGTTGTTTTTAAGCAAAACATAGGAAATTCTGCTACACTTGGGGTTCTGTGAATGTGAGTTGAGGCATTACTTTTTATTTCTATACTTGCGGCTTTTATAAGCCAGACTCTTTGTCCCTTTTCTCTTGAACACTATAAAACATTTTTCTTTAGGTTTTACTCAAGGATGACCCAAAATCTGGCTGGAAAACCACGGTTTGCACTGCACTCTGAAAGTTGGGCAGATCTTGCAAACAACTGGGGGAAGGGGGCAAGATTTTCCACAGAGAACTCTCTTATAAGGAGTTAAATTTTAAAGCCTGCCTGGGCAACCGCTGTTGACAAATTCTACATTATGATTTGTCATTTATTTCCTGCATCAGCATTTCTGTTTTGGAAAACACCGGAGTGGATTATTTAATTTATGATTTTGCTGTGGTTGAAACTTCAGGAAAACCGATTGATTACACTGTTGTATCTGGCAATGAAAGAGGTGAGTACCAGCCCCCTTATGAGTTAAAATAGCCAGGAGAACATCATAACCTGTCTTTTGCATGGCAGGTGCTGCTGTGCATAAGTGAGGAAAGAGAGAGCATGAATAGAACTTTTTTTTAAAACAGGAGTACACAGAGAATTTTTTTCAGGGCTTTTCAGCATTGACTTAGTTGACCTTTGGCTCTAGGAAGGGTGGTAACTTGCTAAGAAATGGCTTCTTTTAACCTTAAACTATAAGATAAGGATAATTTAGAGACTGGGGAGCCAAAATAGAAAGTGTTGTTAACAAGCAGCTTCCTCCCTGCCGATTGCTTTCAGTACATAATTTCCTTGCATTTATGTTAAGGCATCTGCCCTCTTGCAGCTGTGCCCAGGTTCCATTTGGCCCACAACAAAGGAAGTACATAGAAACTGAGAGAAAAGTTTGAAATGCATAAAAAATGGATTGTGCAAGAAGGAGCTGCAATTCTCCTTATTTGTGAAATCATGTGAAATTCTTTTTAATATTCACTTTTCCTTTGCATGTTTAAGGGCTGTTTGGTGTGGGGTAGGAGCCCAGCTGTGATGATGCCTTTGCTTCCTGGCCAGTGGAAGTGTTGAATTTCACATTGTTCAGAGCAGAGGAGTCATGGAAACATCCCAAGGGCAGCTAAGACACAGAGCTAGGAGGGTACAAGTGAAATGGCATCTGTCACAGCAGAAGTGTGTGTTTGTCCTTTCAGGCCACTTTAGACTGGATCCTGAAAGTGGTGAGCTGAGAACAGCAGTTAATTTGGACTATGAGGAAGTTTCTCAGTATGTGATTTTAATTCAAGCAAACAAAAGAGTCTCCTCTGCTGCAGAATTCCAGCGTTCAGGTAACTTCTTGCTTTGAATGACATTCCAGAGGAGCAGTGGACACATGGTTTTTATTTGCAATCCATAGAGGAGTTGTGATTCTCTTTAACTTGTAAAGTTTGATGTGAAAGGCGAAAAGCTGATGGTCCAGGTTGTTCCCTCGTGCTGTTCCCAGGCCTGTTTGCTGAGAACGCGGCCATGCTGACAATCTCCGTGCAGGATGTGAACGAAGAACCCGTGTTCTCCAGCCATTCTTACTCTGCCCGCATTCCCAGCTCCGTGCCCTACAAATACCCTGTCATTACAGTCCAGGTAGAGTATTTCCTGTGCTCTTCACAAGGACAGAAACCCTGGTATAGAGCTGGGTTTCTTCCACTGCATTAAAGGAGCTTTAAATCTGCCCCTGAGAGCTGAGTTTGCTGCTTGAAGAACAACGTGCAGCCCAAAAGCCACAGGCTGAGTGTCACAAGTCACTTTTTTTAAACCCAGGCCACAGATCCAGACTCAGGAGACAATGGACGTCTGCTGTACAGCTTAGTGAGAGGTCAAACCAGCGAATTTGACATCAATGAAAACACAGGGCAGATTTTCACAGTTTCTGTAGCAGGAAAAGCTGGAACATTTTATCTGGAAGTCCAAGCTGCCGACCAAGGCACAAGAAGACTCACAGCCTGGACAACAGTCAACGTAAGGAAGATTTTTATGTATAATCCTGATTACTTCCATGTCAAAATTGTAAACAAGAAGGGCTAATTTTGGTAATGGCAAAACTACAAAATTACTTAACTCTGTCAAAAGGGCTGTCATATATATAAGTATTTATATACTAGAATTAAGAGGTTGCCATTTTCATTGACATATAAAAATATGTTGGCACAAAAACTGACTTTTGGAGGACAATTATTTTGTATCAGAGGGTTTTTGTTATTGTTGTTCGTTTGAGGGTTTTTTTGATCAATCCACGAGAGGTACAAATGCTCTAGAAAAATCTTATCTGTGATTCTTTATTAGGTAACTGTTGATTCCAGCTCCAGTAGCAACATTGTGATGCTGGTGCTTAGTCAGAAGATCAATGCTGTGGAAAGAAAGCGTGTTGAAGTACAAAGGTATTTTTGAAACTGTGATGCTTATTCTGGTATAATACCTAAAGATAAATTCAGAGTCCCTTTGGGATAGGGGTCTGACAGGCTACAGCCAGTGCTCAGGAAAAACCAGGCCTTCAATTTGACATTGCTCAGAATAATTTGAGTAAATTCACAGGAATCTAGCAATTTTTGCCTTGTAAGTTTTTAGCCTGAAGCTGACAAATCTCACAGAGGTCATTGGACTAGGCAATTTCATGTGGTCTCTTCCCATCTCAATGTTTGTGTCATTTTTAACAGCCTAGGATTAACCTTTTCATGGATAGCAGGATAAAAACATGGAGACATAGGGCAGACACCACAAACCAAATGCACTATTAAATTAAAACCATAATTGGGCCTTTTGGGCATGTTAACAAAGATGGAAGATCTTTTATTTGGCTACACATAAACATATATTTACTTTGGAAAGATTGAGTCCTGTGCTCATGAAGGAAAATCACTCTGAAGGTGGGAAAAATTAGTTTGTGATGACGCTATTATGGACCAGTTCTTGTTGGTAAAAATGAAATGGAAATCTTCCTTGGAAGCAGCTGTGCTGACTGCTACCAGAATGATGGATTAAGTGGGCCACTGGTCCCATCCAGGATGAAATCTCTGGAAGAAGAGGAGAAAACAATGAGAATTATGAGACTAAATTTCCTTCCTCCCTACCTTTACTGTTTATAGTAATCTATAGATATTTTTTCCCTCTGCTACTCAATCACTCAACAATTTTGGACAAATAGCTTAATTCCTCTGCTGACGATAATCCTGCATTTTTACATGCTTCAATCAAAATATCTAAAAGGTATTTTTATTAGTATCAATTAATATCTGCCAAGTGTTGCATTAAATACTACTTTATTTAATTTCCAGAGTAAAAGAATCTGTCATTGCTCAGTTAAATTAAAAATGTTTTCTTCATATGATGTCAGGGTCCTGGAAGATAAACTTGGGTGGAATGTATACGTGCTTAATATTTATTCCAAGGAGTCTGACAGAAATTCAAGGAGCAGCACTGATGAAACCCAAGTAGACATCATTGCTTTTGATGAGGCCCACCAGGAAGTACCTGCAGAAGATGTAAAAAGGTCTGTATGGCACAGTCTGACTTCTGGGGGTCAGAGCTCATGCAGATAGGATTTTTTAGAATTCAGAAAGCTGACTCACTATTTACCGAAAGCTAATTTTCAGACTTTGCCAAAAACATGAGTAAGGCTGTTTGATTGTGCAAAATAGATTTAAAAGTCAGTTTAAGAGAAAAAAAGCTGACAGATAAAGAATATAATTAAAATATAAATGGACCTCAGAGTGGCAGAATGTTGATAAAAACCCCACACTTTAGGTGTATTTTACATTACTTTGGTAATCTCTCAGTGATGTGGATCTAGTTCAAGGGTCCAAGCTCTGCAATATTTTAGGTCACAAGCACCAGGGCTGGTTGCTGGAAAGCAGAGCTTTTCCTGAAGGAAAGACACAAGTCCGAATCCTCAGAAAAGGTCTTGGCAGATCAGGGAGGGATATTCTGTATTTTCTTCACTACTCCTGCAGCCAAAAGGAAGGTGAGGTGCACATGCACATTTCCCCCTTCTATCCTCAGAAAACTGAGGGAGCAGCAGGCAGACCTTGAGCTGGGGCTGGAGGAGGTGTTCTCAGCATCTGTCAGCGCTGCCGTCGGGGAGGCTGCAGCAGCCCCGGCGTCCCCAGAGCTCGTGGCCGCCATCGTGCTCGGGGTGCTACTCGCCGGCACCTTCGTCGCCTTCTTGGCCTACGTCCTGCTGGATCTGAAAAGGAAAAGGTACAGAGGGCTTGCCTTAACATGTCATTCACCTTCATTCACCATTCACAGCTGATGGGTCTAATGAAGCATCAACTCAAAAAATGTGTTGTCTGATAAATTACCGGCTTTTGCAGGCAGCATTACCCAAGATTTGTTACGTTGGATGCACCACATAAAACTGAAAGGTGTTTCTTCTTGTGTTTGGCACACAGCAAAATCAGAAACAAATCTCTGAAACAGAGAAATGTGGGCAGCAGAAACTTTAACTGTGAAGGGGGCACATGAGTCTTTTCCAACCCCATAAATGATGAAATAGTTTGCTGCTTAACTGCAATGGCAGCAGTGCCACATGGTAGAGGAAAACAATTTCCAGAAGGAAAGCAAACATTTACCATGCTACCATTATGGAAAAATAGGAAATACTCCAAACTAATCCCCAGAACAACACTGAAAATAAATGTTGTGTACTAAACTTATAACACAAATAATTAATCTTCTGTTTCTAAAACAACTGTAAAGCCAATCTTCAAAAATAATTTATTCTTATTATTTTATTTTAATGTATTATTTTCAGAAAGTATGGGAAACAGGATTTGGTTAAGAAAGTTGAAATTATGGAGGGCATTGATAACCCGTGGGCAGATGACAAAAATGGAAATCTGAAAAGCTTAGAGAAACCAGAGCACATGAATAATGGGTAAGTATACTGCTGCAACCACAAATTTATAAAAATCTGCACATAAAGACCATGGTTCTAGTTTATTTTGGTACCACAGGATTTTCCTTGGATCTCCCACTAGGCTGTAAGTCCATTTTTAAGGACTCTTAAAATGACAAGCTAAAAATCTCAACGCTTGAAGGAAGTTAATACCTTTTAATCTTGTATCAAAGGCACATTCCTACTTACTCTTTAGCAAATTGTTAATCCTAATGCAGAAAAGACCCTTCAGGATACAGGAAGCTCCTTAATTCCCCTGGGTAAAATCCCACTAATTTTGAGAGCAGTGTACATGCTGCTTTTGGTTGTAGAGAGGCTGAGATTTTTGTCTGTGGTGCTATGAATTCTCTGAACTCTCTTAGGAGAACTGAGATGATGTCATTTGACAACCTGGAAGGCACCAGAGGAGATGATGCTGAAAAAGATGAAATTCAGGCCTCTGAAAAAGACAATTACCTGGAGACAGTGTTGCTGGATTACAAGGGTGAAAGTAAGCAAAATGGAGCACCTGAAAAAGCTGCTGAAAGTAGAAATGTGGAGGTCCAGCTCACGGCGAGATCCACAACAGAACAGGTAATGAGCATTTTGATTGCAAAGCATGGAGTGAAAGGTCTTTTATTATTATTCATCACATAACTCAAGGAATTATCAAAAAAGCAGATTTGACGGTACTAAAAAATAGAATTTTGTGAAGTAATCCCTGGGAATGTTCAAGGCCAGGCTGGACAGGGTTTGGAGCAACCTGGTCCAAGCAAGGTGACCCTGCCCATGGCAGGAAGTTGGGGCTGGACAATGTCTTAAGGTGCCTTCCACCCCATTCTATGATTCTATAAAAAAATCTTAAAGAGGAAGGGCTGTTTGTTCATGCCTAGAAGAAAGAGCAGGACTTTCATCCAGAAGTGCTGACTCTCTTAATTATGATATGAACAGTAAAAGGCTCACAGTTTTATGATTTCTACAATTTATAATTCCTCCACACTCAACCATTTGTAGCTTTCTGCCTCACCTACGTTACGCTTTTTTGCAGGGTTCCTTTCCAACAGACACAAACCAGAAGCCAGCTCTTTCCTTAACACCTCATCCCACATTGCCTGCCCCCGATAAAGAACTGAAAGGAGTAAAATTTTCAGAGGTGGCAGTGATTTTGGACACAGAACCTGGAGATGATGAGTCTGGAGATGATGAATCTGAAGACAATGAGTTTGGTGATGAGCTATCTCTCTGATAGGAACAGCCGATGAAGAAAATTTTTTTAAAAAGCACAATGAGACTCATTGGGACAGCTCAGAATTAAATGAGCAATAAGAATATGGGAATGTTATCCAGATTTTAATTCTGCTGCTGTTTTAAGGATGGATAAGAAAGACAACAAGTAATAGGCGGGAAGGGCTGTAGGGCTGTGCTGCAGGGCTGTTTCCCCAGCAGCAGCGCTGGCTCACTGTGTATTTAATTTCGTCTGGCACGTGTCAAATGGGCAAGACAATAAACCCGATTCCAGAGGCGCTGCCTTGTCATTGCTTCAGAGCGTGTACATCAATTCTTTTGTTCTTTTGCACAGAAGTGTCCTCCGCAGTGTCTGAAAACGAGAGTCTGTTTTCTAATTTTCCTGTTTTCCTCCATTTTTTTTTTTTTTTTTTCCCTCTCTCCTCTTTTCCAGCGAGGCGGTGCCTTCCCCCCGGAGCCGGGAGCAGCCCCGAAGGAGCAGCTTTTCCCGGGCACAGGAGCGTAGGCTCCCGGCGCCGCCGTCCCGCTCTACTCCGCCCCTCGCCCGGGAGGAAGGGCGGGGCAGGGCCTCGCCTTCCTCCTCCTCCTCCTCCTCCGGCGGGGCGCGGAAGTTTCTGGCACCTTCTGGCGGTGCCGGCGGAAGCGGCGGGCGGGGAGCGGCGGGGGCGGCGCCGCGGCGGGGCCGGGGCAGCGCCATGGCCAAGTGGGGCCAGGGAGACCCGCGCTGGATCGTGGAGGAGCGGGCGGACGCCACCAACGTGAACAACTGGCACTGGTGAGAGCCGGGATGGAGCGGGATGCGGGGAAGGGCTGGGGGGAATGGGCGGCCGGCGCTGACCCCGCCGCTCCCGGGGCAGGACGGAGCGGGACGCGACCAGCTGGTCCAAGAGGAAGCTGAAGGAGGTGCTGGAGGGACTGGTGGTGGAGGGTGAGGCCGGGCGCTGCGAGATCGGCGACCTCAAACACGTGGAGGGCGAAGCGTCCTGCAACAGTCGCAAAGGGAAACTCATCTTCTTCTACGAGTGGAACCTGCGTCTCAGCTGGAAAGGTACGGGGGGAAGGGGGATGCGAGGGGCTCTGCAAGGATTTCCGGGCCCCGGGAGCATGTCCCGGGCCCGGCCGGGGAGATGGCATTAGCCCGGGGCTCCGTGCTGCTCCCTGCTGCCGCCGGGAGCCATCCCTTTGCAGAGGAACCTGTCCCCTCCGGGCTGGCGAAACGCGAATGTCTCGGTGAACTGCAGTGACTCGGAGTTTGGGGCTGGAGTCGATTGCGGGAGCCACGTGGGCCTGGACGGGATAAATGCGTATTCTTAAATAACCTTGAAACCCGAGCTTGGCTTTCCCCTTCACCCAGGCTTTTCCCACCGCATATTCCTTAGCACTGCATTCCCGGTGTATCAGCACGGGGTTACTCACCTTAAGCTTTAAAAAGATGAATGTCTGCATTGTGGTGGCATTGACAGCAGAGTGGCGGGGCTGATTTCCTTCCACTGTGCCCAAATTACAGCTGTGTGCCCCTCCGTGCCTCTGGAGAGCAGGAAAACCTAGGAGACGTCACATTGCTGTTTCCAAAAACGAACTGTAGTGTACACTGAGGATTACGAATTACAGGAGGATAAAACTCTTTAGTGGGAAATAGAAATAATTCTTGATTAATTGGGTTATTGGGGGCTGTGCCCGTGCACTTTTTTGTTGTGCCATATCCATTTACAATCCCAGCTCTTGGAGTTACCCTCCGCTGGGCTTGTCCCGTGGCAGGTTCTTTGTTTGCAGTCTGGCTTTTAGTGATGCCAAGGAATTCTTGCTGTTTATTAAATGCCTAAAACCTGACAGCAGATTGTGGCCTTGCACTGGAGTAAGAAGCAGGAGCAGCCGATGGAATGAGCCTGCACAGGAAATTGTCCGTGGATATTGTAGTGTCAAGTGACAGACTGTGCTTCCCCAAATACAGTCCCTATTCCTCAGCCCTGGGGTGTGGAGGTTGGCCTGACTGGAATATTACTGAGACCAGACCAGATCTGGAATTGAAGTCTGCACCCACAATAACAGGGGACTTTAAACCGAGTACTGTTGTTTGTTTTAGGAAGTTTTATATGTACCAAGTGTGTTATAAACTGAGACCATACTTAGAGTTGCGGTGTAAATGTTAACAGAGAGCAAGGCAAATAGCAGAGTCTTGTGCGGTTTAAATCAGTGTAGATAAAATAATTGTAATCAGTTTTTTGACTTCTTTAAGTTCAGCAAAAATTACCTTAAGCTTTAAACAGAGGTTAGCTCGGCTTTGTGTGGTTCATTTCAGAGTATAAATTTGGAAGCAGGCAGACAGTATTTTGTTTGTATTTCTGTGTAAGTTCTCTCTAAACTATTTCTCTACAAGGTGTTTGTGCCGGTCAGTGTTTAGAGATAGCTCTGACTTGCTGGCTGCTTTGCTGTGCTGAGTGATTCCTGGCTTTGAGAGCTTAATTTTAAATGAGTTGGCTATTACACAGGAAATGCTACAAAAAAACCCCAGAGGCTGATGATTTTTTTGGTGATAGCCATCATGTTGTGTGTTTTGAGGGCTCTAAATTAGAAGACAGTTCAGATTGAACTAAAAAAACTGTAATTAGTTCTACAAGTCTTCAAGGATAATTAGGACTTCAAGCTTTGCTTAAAAGGTGGGTATGCAAGGCCAGATTGTAAAAATCCTGAGATTTGCAGCTGGTTTGGAAAGTCCAATATAGGAAAAACATTGTGCTTAGCAATTTAGGTAAGAAAGAAACAACAAGTGAGGAACTGGGTGCACTTAATGATTCTAAAATTGAGCAAAATGGCTATTCTATCATTTTTTAGAGGATGTAATGAGGATTTTAATGGATCATTCCATATTGTGGTGGAAGCTTTGTGAAAACGTGTTTGTCCTTTTAAAGCAGGTATTTCAGTGTGTTATAGTTGGATCTTTCTGAGATGTGTGCTTCACACTGGACTGGCAGAAAACCAAAAGTAATTTATTTTCAGGTCTGTTACTGAATTCCAGTGCAATTCCAACATAATTTGATTGATAAAAAGGTAGTAAAGTTTTTTTTACATTACAGTGGTAGTGGAAATGCAGAGCAGCACCGATGTTCTTTCTGCCTGTGTCATGTGGATCCACCAGCTCTGTTTGTTCACTGGTTGGACTTTGCTGCCCGGCACAGACACTGTCACTGTGAAACTTTACGAGTTGCGAAAATTGCTAATAGGATTGGCTGACTGAAGTCAGGTTTGTGTTTTGCTCCCCAAAATGTCCTGCATGCCTGCACTTCCTTTCTGGGGAGCAGCCAAAAGATAGGTTTTATTGTCTGCAAAGACCATGTTGTGTGGTTTTCCTGTACTGATCCTGGTACTGGACGAGGGCAGGGAGGAGCACACTGAGGTGGCTTTGTGGGCCCAGGAGTGTTCCAAGGATGGCATTAACCAGTTCCCAGGGCTTTACTGAGTGACAGGTTCTCCTGGGAGACTCCAGGGTCTAGTTCTGCTGTCCCTGTGTGCATGTGGCTGTGTAGGTGTGTATTAACAACTTTGTGTGTTGTGCAATCCCTTATTGCCTCAGACGCGGTGGGGAGGGATCTTTGCCCTTTGGTACCAACAGCCCTTCGCTCCCCTCCATGCCAGGAGGCACCTGGGCGTTTGTTGGAGTCCCTCGCTGGGATCTTCTGTCATGAGGGCTCAGGGAAGTAATTAAAATAATGAGAGGAATGGTCAGGAGCAGGGGAATCCAGGTGGCTCTTGTGAAAGTGAGAATCCCCAGAAATTCTGCATCTGCCTTCCTGATAATTCCCCTTGTGCAGTCGTGCCCAGCCCTGGGCAGTTGGAATTGGAGAGTTTTGCTGATGAAGCACCTTGTTAGATTTCTAGTGTTCTGACACTGAGCTGACAAATCTGCCTGTTTCTCCTCTTGTTTTCTGAAGAGATTTTATCATGATCTAATGAGGGAGTTAATTTAAATAACAACGCACTAATGCAAGGCAAAGGGGAAGAGTCTTCAGTGTAATACAAAAAGCCTCAGACCTTAAATTCAATCTTTCCAGTGTAAACTGAGGCAGAGCAGCACGGGGCAGTTCAGTGGGGTAGGCCTTGGCCCCAAAGGATCAGAAGTGGAGCATATAATTCCTGTCCTTGCTGACTCTTTCTGCAGTGATTGCGAGGTGGTTAAAAGTAAGATCAAGTGCTCTGAATGTACACATGAAGTTCCTGTTTTTTTAAAAATGTCAATTGTATCTTTCCCCATTATACACATGTGTTTTTCCTGGTAACATGCCTGCATGTTGGGAGCTTTCACACAATTAAAGAGGGGCAGGGTCAGGGAGCTTCTGAATCCAGAGCAGACACATTAAGGGGAGAAGGGCATGATTTTCCCTTACCCACCCTTAGATGCACAGGCAGTGCTGGGGACAGGCTGTAAAGGCTGTCAGAGCAGGTGACAGCTGCAGGTGACAGCAGTGCAGGGAGCAGGTGGGTCGCTGTCCATCCCTCAGTGCACCTGGGTAGGGAACACAGCTCCCAGCAGAGGCTCAAGTTGCTGTTCAGTTCCTCTAAATCAGCCTTGAGGCAACTCCCTTCAGGTAACACCTTCCTACAAATGAGCTCCAAGTGTAAAACTCTTGTTGTGGGGGAAAGAGTTTTTAATGCTGCATTTAAGAATTCGTTATGTTAATACAGGTACAGTGAAAGAGTCTGGTGAGAAACATAAGGGATCTGTTGAAATTCCTAACCTGTCAGAAGAAAATGAGGTAGATGATACAGAGGTAGGTGTGCAACACTGGTGTATGGCTGTATAGGTCCATAGTTCTTAAATAAAGTAAATTAACATCTAGGCATCATATTTTGATTTATCATGTTATTAAGTGGGGTAATTACATGTGGACAGTTTATTTTATGCTTTTGTAATTATTATAATTGTATTATACTTGGAATAATGCCTTACTCTGTTCTCAAATTTACCAATGAGGAATGTGCAGTTTGCTTTGCTATTTATTGATTGTGATAATTTTTAATTACAAATTTGAGAACTCTGCTTGTAGTCTTAAAAAAAAACTCCAAACCAACACAGCAAACCACTCCCAGCCCTAAGACCTTAAGGAATCTCTGTGTTGGCTGGATAATGGTGCATACTGGGCTTCCACAGATCCTTCAGCCTCTGCTGAGAAGCAGCTCTTTGCTATACTTGAACAAGAGTGAGTGGAGATACTACATTTATTTATGTCTTAAGAAGACTTATTTTTAGCAAAGTTTGGCTACCCCAAGGTCATGAATTTAAAATTGCACCTGTCCTCTGAGCATAGTAAAAAAAGCCCAAATGCTCTCCTTTGTTGCCAGATCCCAAAGGCTCATGTCTGAAGTCTCTTAAATGCTGTCATTTTTCTGTTTCTAGATAAATGTTAGCAAGAAGAAAGGGGAAGGTGATGTTCTGAAGGACCTGATGAGAACTGAAGGAACCACCAAAGTCAGAGAGGCCCTAAGGGACTACCTGAAAGCACTTAAAACAGGTAAATGGAACCAGGTGAATTAATCAACACCTTGGGAGTGTTCCTGTGCAGCTGCCTCTCCTGAACAGCTTGGTGAGATTGTGACAAATCCCTGGGTTTCTATTGGTTTGATCTTTAATTGTCACCAGCTGAGATGAGTTAAGTTAGTCCTGACACTCAGGATCTCTTTTGCTCTAAAAGTGGCCGTGTCCAGAAGGTTCTGCAGTGACTGAGGCTGTGCTGGGTCACACAGGCCCTGCCAGGGCTCAGCTAAGCCCTACTAGGGCTGGCCAATATAAGGATTTCTTTTTGTTGCCTAATTTTAAAAAACTGCCTTCCTTGCCCGAACTGCTGCCTAATTTTTGTGTCCCTTTGTTTTAATTATTAAATAAAATTTAATTATTAACTGTGTTAATTATTAAATTAGTTATTTTCTAGAATTTCTGAAATGCTGTTTTTATTTCTGTCCAAGTTCATTCTGTGCTCATCTTTGAGCTTACCATTATCATTTGAGATTCTAAGGTTTTATTATCCTAAACTTACTAAGTTTATAAATTTTCACTTGTTCTTCTAAATCAAAGGTGAGCCAAATTTAATGTTTTTTTTTTTTTTTTGACTGGTGGTATTTTGTGAATTACAGCTGTTTCCAAGAATCAGGAAAGTATGCTCAAAAAATTGATGCATTTATAGCTTGTAGTTAAATTGTTACCAGGTATCTCTCTGACTGTGAACTACTTCATTAAATTATTACCTCTTTTTTTTTTTGTTAAATGCTGTGTAATTTTCACAAGTTGGATCCACCAGTTTTGGCTTGAGAAATTACTGTGTATGATTTTTAGGGTATCCAAAGATTCTTTAACTCTGGACACTCAAAGGGCAGCAGCCTCTGACAGGGATGGCTCCCATTCGGTATTGAGTTTCACTCCAGTCTTCTGCCAAATTTAGAAGAATTTCTCTGGGTATTATGACTCTTTGATCTGAACATCTGCTGTGCAGAAGGCTGTGCAGATGTTTCTGATTTGGGGTCAGGTAACTTGGAAAAGCCTTTTGAAGGCTGTTAGGTTTGTTCCTGATTCTTGATGGAAGCATAAGAGTAAACTGGGAAAACCAAAGTGAGTTTTATGTCCTGCAGTTTTACCCGTTCTCCAGGATTTTGGTGATCTTCATTGAGTGTCTGAATGTCTGGGGGTTGAAAAGCTCAATTTCACACTGAAAAGTGCTTTTCTTCATTATAGAGTTCACCTTGGGAATGATCCTGCCAACAAAAACTCCTGTTGGTCAGGAACTGGCCATGGAGCGAAAACCAAGTGGGAGCACTGTGCAGGTATGTTGCTTCAGGTTTTCACTGAATTTAGTGACTCCTGAGTAATGATACTGCTGAGGAAATGCAGAAATACAGTGTACAATTGCCATGTATTCACACCCTGTGTTTGAGAATGTACAGGTGATAACCCCCTTGCCTGCCAGCACTTCTAATGGTCAAGATCTCACACTAATTCTTGTGACTATTTTTTTGCTTTGCAGGACTCTGTTACACCACAGTCTCTAGATATGGTTGGAGTAAAAATTCCAACAGTGAGGATACATATGAGAGAAGTCTTCAACTCTCCAGCTGATGAACTTTACAGCATCTTCACAAAGAAGGAAGTAAGTGATATTCAAGGCATTTTAACTGAATGTGGCTGTTGATGCTGCTGAAGAGTTGTGTAAATAATAAACACATCACAGTGTCAAGTACAAATTCCATTTGATGAGAGTTTATTAGACTGCCTTTGACCTTTTTTTGCCAGTTTTTTGCTTTGCTATTTATTGATTGTGATAATTTTTAATTGCAAATTTGAGAACTCTGCTTGTAGTCTTAAAAAAAAACTCCAAACCAACACAGCAAACCACAAAATAAAGACCCACTTCTATGAGACTGTACATAGTTTAAGAACTATTCCCTTGTAACAAAGTGAAGCTGCATTGTTATGGTGTTTGGGTGCAGCTTCCTTGTGCTGTCCTTAACAAAAGCTTTGCTCTTTGATGTTGGTGTTGTTGAGGAGCCTGAAGGGCTCAGTAATGGCACTGCTGCTACCCACAGCTTAATTAGATTAATTACTGGAAGTGGTGATACTGTTGCTTATTGGGTATGAAACACAGAATCACTAATTTTGGGTTTGTGTCCTTGAAATGAGTCTGGGCTGGTACTGGAGTACTTTAAATTCCAACCCCAGCTCTTAGCAGCTCTTCCAAACCTTCCTAAAGCTGCTGCTCCATTTTCCTCATTCCCCAGTCTGGGAACAGCCACTTGTGTCTACATCTGTGGAGGTGCTGGGGGCAGGGCGAATGCTGGTCTGTATTTACCAGTGCAACTTTCTCAGCATTAACGTTCTCCCTGTGGCACCTCACTGGCCCCTGCCAGAGCCCCAGCAATGCTGTATAAAATCAAAAGCCTAATGAGTGATTAAAGACTTCCAGGTGTATCAGAGTTTCCAACTGCAGCACCCCTCCCTTGTCTCTCAGCATGGTGCATTTTGTGTTTTTCTTTTTTGTAGTTGGTACAGAAGTTCTCCAAATGCCCAGCTGTGATTGAAGCAGAGAAAGGAGGCAAACTCCAGATGTTTGAGGGCTGTGTCAGCGGTGAATACACAGAACTGGTAAAAAGCTCCTGCTCTACTTTAAAACATTAGGGGAGGGTGGCTCCTTCTCTGAGCTAAAAAGCAGCATAAATTTTAATTTCAGCTTCTCTAGTGAGTATTTCACTTCCTTTATTTCAAAGCCAAATAGTTGGTCTTTTGTTGTGTGCTGTTTGTATCTCATCAAAAGAGCAGGGACTGACCACACCTAAGGACCTGCATGGGGAGCAGAAAACCCAGCACAATCCTTTGTAACTGAGAGGAGGAAGAAAGGTTTTAAGTTTTATTTCCCAAATCCCTATGCCTTTTTAACTGGGGAAATGATTTCTGTTCTATTCAGGACAAGTGTTACCCTGGTAATTAGAGCTCAGCTGCATTTTTGAAATGTCCTAAAAACCATTTTCATCTGCAGGAGTGCCCAACCTGTGTACTGGGCCAGGCTGGGTTGCGTAACACAATCACTCGGTCACACTTTGAAATTTCAGTGTGGAAAACTGGGCTTGTCCTTGTTTCAAAGTCTGCAAGAAAATCAGTGTTTTATGTGCAGTAACCAATGAGTCCCGGTCTTTTCACACAGCAAGAACAGAACAGTGGAATACACTCCATAGAAACAGTTTATTTCAAAAACCAGACCCCAGTCTTGCTCTTGTTTACATGCATGTGTCCAGTATGCCATAAGATGCTGCTCATCTCCCTCTATTTCAGGGAGAACTGCAGTGGGAATTCTCTCAGGTGCTACCAAGGAGAACCTTTTTATCTTCCACAGGTTCCAAGCCAAAGAATTGTCCTGAAGTGGCGGTGTAGGAGCTGGCCTGATGGTGAGTTTTTCCAAGGATCTCTGATATTGCAGGGCTCCCTTGCAGGGAGAAGAACCAATCCTGGCAGGGAGCAGCCTTGGCTGGACAGTGCCTTGGTCCCTGTCCTTTGGAGAACAGCCCAGTGCAGAGAGCTGTGAAAAGAGGCTGTGCTCAGAGAGGCAGAGCAGAGAGGGAATGAGCACCAACAAGCGGCATTCTTTAAAAAGCATTTCACTGAAGGATCTTGTTCTCTTCCCTCAGAACATTATGCAACTGTGGCCTTGAACTTCCAGGACCTGGCGACTCAGTCAGAACTGGAGCTGGAATGCAAAGGGGTTCCTGTCTCCCATGAAGAGAGTACAAGACAATGTTGGAAGAAGCAATATTTTGAAGAAATACATATTTTACTGCAGCAATCAAAAGACAACATGGAATGATAACAGCACTGTAGTTTTGTTAGGGCATTACTTTTTATACTTTGTTAACATTTGGTTTTCTAAAAAAAAAAAATAATTTATTTGTGGGAAAAATAAAGACCCACTTCTATGAGACTGTACATAGTTTAAGAACTATTTATGGGTTTTTAGGGAATGAGAGGCAAGTCAGACTGTATATCAACAGCTTTACTTGGGGACAGTGATCTCTGTTCTGCTTGCCTGGAACTTCAGAGTGATAATGATTCAGCTGCAGTAAGCCCTGCCCTCAGAGGTAGGTGAGCTACACCTTTAATAGGAAGTATTTCCAGTTCTTTAATATTCAGTGTATCAAGTGGCAAAATTAAATCCCTGTAGGAGACTGAGTTCCCAGCAGAGGTGAGCTGAAAGGGATTACAAAACTGCTGATCCATTTCAAGAAATGGGGGGGAGGGGGTATTATTTACAACCTTTGTGGAATACTTGCTAGATGCTTTCAACTGCAGACTGTTTGCAGCTGCAGTTTTAGGAAAGATAATTAACAATGTCATGTAATTATTAGGTCTGCATGCACTGTACTCCCTTACTTGACTTCGGTGTGACATTTATTTAGGAAGAAACAAACAGTAGTAGTGCTTTCCTTCTGCAGTTCTGTAAAACCTTCCACTGAAATGATTCACAGCCCTCTGCAATGCTGTACCTCAAAGAGAACAACTGTAAAGAGAATTTTGACAGGAACAAATTGTAATTCCTGATTAAACCATCTTGAAGTGAGCAAGGATAACTTAGTTCTCAAATGCTTTATAAATAAAGTGTACAAATGAAATATGCAATCTGAAAGAATTTGACCACAACAGGGTATGCTGCTTTTGGAAAATGTGCTTGGCTCAGTAAAAACATGACTTTATCTCCATAAACTGATACTGCCACACTAAAGATTCTTAGAAGTCCTCTGTATTTTATTTTTACAGAATGCCAACACATGGCAACCTTGCCACCCAAAAAGCTTCCATCATCCCAAGGAGACTGAGCTACTGCTCCCTGCTACAGGCCAGGTTCTCCTGAAAAGTTTGCAGTCAGTTATTAATAATCCCTCTGAACTGAGGTCTGTGGTAGTGAGAAGAACAAAGTCCCCACAGTGACAGGAGAGGCACAGAGGACTCCCTGAGTGTTGCCTGCTGCTGCTTGAAGTGTCCAGGTGCTAGGTAGGGAGCAACCTCTTGAGTAATGTTTTATTTTAGCATCTGTTTCTGAATGCTCAAAATTCAGTTACTTTTTTTTCCCCCCCTCAACATTCAAGGAAGACAAGCCTGATGTTTTGAATACAAAAATGATTCAGGGTAAGGGTTGGCAAAGGGCAATTAAGGTCTAAGTTCAGGCTTCAGCAGGTTTATGGGTAGATGGTTGAAGAGATATTGCAATGATTTAATCCTTGAGAGTAGGTGGCTCTATGCAATTCCGAGTTTCTTCAAACAGTGAAACTGCAGCCCCAGTGTTCTCTGGGAATTGTGCTTTGTTCATGACTGAAATCCCCTGGTTTTCCTGTTTCCCTGCCCTCACTGGAATGGAGTAATTGCCAATCAGTAGTGTTAAAAAAGACAGGACATACTTGTGCTTCCAATGTTGCAAGTCCCTGCTCCAGCTGCCAAAACCCCTGGAAAATGAGCAGCAGCTTCATATCCCTCTAAAACTCATGCTAAAGTTTCTCCTGGACTTCCCAATTAAGAATGTTAGATGGAAATTCACTGAGAAGGGCAAAGAGAAAAATAGTACAATGGGAAAAACATGGTTTGTAAGATTATGGCCAAAGTTCTTTACAGATCTCAGCACTTAAAGTGCTATAGGAAAGGCTGCCTGTGCATGGAGAAGGTATTTTAAAAGCTTAATTTTGAAGGGGTTAAATGGGAGGTAGAAATAAGTAATAATAAATGAGAAGTGGGATAAAACCTGAAGAAAATCAAAGCTTTTAAGAGACTGAGGAAGCCAGTGGAAGATCAAAGGGTTTAGGGTTAAAGGGCTTTCAAAGCTGGGATAAAGGAACATTTTTAAAGGCAGAAAAATACAAACCAGAAAATTGATTTAAAGCGAGAGAAGGGGAACAGAATGGAAGAAATAATGACTGACAGAGCATGGAAAGTGAGGGAGACAGAGGATATACACCTGGAAACAGACTCTGGAAAAGGAAGACACCTTTGTGCAGGTATTGCTTGCTTCTGTTCAAAAAACTGCAAAAAATTCTTGGTAAAAATTGCAGGAATACTCAAGGGGGAAATTAGGAGGTAAGGGAAGAGCAGTAAGAGTAAGCATATTGCTGGTAATCCTGACATGATTAATGGTGCAGTATTTGTGCATCCTTTATGAAATCATCATCAAGTACAGTTTATAGTTGGATCTATTCAAAAATGAGCTAAAAAAACATCCCAAAGGCCAGAAGGCCACAACTCTGGTGCAATCCCATCCTGCAGGAGCTGCTAAAGCCAGCAAGGGGCAGCAGATCAGACACCATCCCAACTGCACAATGTTAAGGCTGATTAATTAAGAAAACTACTCACCCAAACGGGTTCCAACAGCTGCTGCAGCTCAGGTTTTGATCCATAGGCCACTGTTTTTCTTGACAGAAAAATTCTGATTGTAGAAGTTTTGACTAGAAGCTGTTGATGAGTTCACTGGAGTAACAACCTGGGGAAAGCTAATCAGAAAAAGTAATAAAATTATTCCTAAAGAGAACAAAACCATAGTTATTTAATGTCTGAATAATGAGGATACCAACTTAAGCATTTATCAGTGTCAGCAGTGTCTGTAAATGCAGGATAAAAATGCTAAATAAACAGGAATATAAATTTGTAAAGTTTAAAGATTAATTACAGAACATTGAAACCAGTAAATTCAAAGGGAGCAAGAGCATCACAGACTCAAGGAGAAGCAAGTGATGCAAAACTGCAGTGAAGGGTAAATGGAAAGAAAGAATTTTGAAGAAAAAAGACCAAGGTAGATGAAGACAATAGAAAAACAAATGAGCTGAGCAGCTGGAAAATGAAGCTGAAAATGGAGTTTAATCGGATATTAGAACTAGTAGCATTGACAGTCCAAAAGGTCACATAGAGGAAACTGGTATTACTCAGAAATAACGGGGAAGTATAATGGGAGGGATGATAAAAGTGCTTCTAGGGCTGCAGAAGCTGTCAAAAAGTGAGGGGGCACAGCCAGATAGAACAGAGGAAAAAAAGAAATAAAGTCTGTAAATGGTGCAGGAGAAAAAGTGTGTAAGAGGGAAATAAGGGAAATGAAATACCAAGTTCCCGTCTTTTGACAGCACTTCACATTCAAAACAACAAGCACCAGTCCCTCTCCACTGTGTGGCTGAACACTCGTGCAAGCTAAACAAGCACCAAAATCTACATCAAATCTGAACCTCTGACTATTATTTCTCTCTGCTGCTGTTTCAAGTTCGAAGTTCTTTCCTGAGAAATCCAAAGACTGAAGCAACATATTATAAACAAATGAAAAGTCATCACAATCAGTTTAATGAAGTGCACAGAATAGCAATTGATCATGTCAATAAAAATAAAACAATTAATTTTACATCAAGTGTGCTTTATTTCCTCCACAGGTATTCTGTTAAATAAAGCACCATATATATACTGCCAGGCCACAGCTAAAGAGGATTCTTTACAGAATCAAATTTCTTGTGGTTGTTTAGTATACAAGTAAACTTAATTTTGATAATAAGAACCACAGCGATCTGAGGCAATCTGCCTCGATTATAAGGTACAAAACTGGCACAGAGGACACCATATTATAGACAGTAAAAATGCCATAAGTTTAAATTACATCATACAGGGCCAGGAGGCTCTGTCTCCCAGACAGCCATATTAAATGAAAGCCACTACAGTGAACTCTTAATTACATAAAACATAGCCATTATCTGATTGCCCTTTAAGAAAGTGTACGGTAGATGCAAAATAAAATAAAATTTAAAAAAAAAATCTTGAGTTCTGCCTGACCAAGAATTAAGCATATAAATCTATCTTGCCATTCAAGCAGAGAGCACTGGACAAACTGAAGCACAAAACAGAAATAAGCAAAACTTATACAAACAGCATTTTTGGGGGAAGAAGGATTAAAAAAAAAAAAAAAAAAGACTTAAAAGCAGACATGCTCCATCTAATGTCAAGAAGCAGCTTGGTTTCCTTTCCCGGATATCCGTGTGACCACGTGAATCGTAGACTCAATGGTCCTGCACAGGATGTCTAAAATGTCATGGTGCTGCATGTGACTAAAAAGTCCTCTGGAATGGCCACAACTGATTGATAAATTAGTCTCAGGGTCCTGGGATGGTAAGGCTTGGCCATCGCAGCTCCGCAAGTCTGCGAGGTCAGATAAAACCGTGGAAATCGACGTGGAAGGAAACTCCGAGTCCTCCTCGGCTCCCATGGAATCCTTGGAAGCCTGCAGGTCTTTGAACTCTTTGCATTCTTCAAATTTCCCGTTCCCCAGCTGCTCCTCGGCATGCTGTGCGCGCGCAGCCAACGCAACGTCTTCAGAAAACGAAGAGGGCACTTCCATCCTGTACTCCTTGACAGAACTGTTCTCAGGGGAGGGTGGATCCTGCTCCGTTCCTGGGTCGATGATGGAGGAGTCCCTGGTCTCGTTGTCTGATGTGCTGGTGGGGGTCAGCGCCTCGTGGGGCTCGGCTTTGATGTCGCCGATGTCCACGGCGTGCTCCTCATCGCTGCTCACCCGCCGCCGCTTCACCGGAGTGGCTCCTTCATCATCTGTGGGGACAGGGCAGCTGCTCAGGAACAGGCACTGCTCACATCCCCACCCATCTCCACACTCAACACAGCACTTTAATAAACACTCATTTCCTTGCAGAGAATTAGTGCAAATCACAAACTTTAGCTCCACGATAAAATGAGATATTTGTGTACTACTGGGATTTGGAGCCAAGGAATGTCCCACCCTGGAGGGACAAAATAATGTATTACATGAATTTGATAAAAGGTTCATTAATGCAACACCAAACCTTTAGTTTTCCTTTCTTTGGCTTCTTGCTCTTGTAGTGAGTTCCTCTGTTGCTGACAAGCTCTACATTTGTTTAAAAGCTCTTGTAAAGTTGGAATCAGGGCAGAGTTGAGCTGTT